TATATATATAATAATTTAATAAAAAAATATATCATATAAATTAGAACGGAGAGAATATATACATTGATAAAAAAAATATACACGGATAGAAAGAAATGTTATTCTTCTAAAAGTAAATTAAGAAAAAAAGTGTCACATAAAATGAAAAATAATATTTTTTGCGTTTCAATTTAGGTGAACTTATTTTCTTTTTAGTTCGTGTAAAAAAGAATGATCTCTTTCCATATTTGAAAATAATTTACTTTTATGCAAGGACTTCTAAACTTCATATCCAATTAAATAGGTTCACATAAATTGAAATAGAGAGAGTACATTAATCACAATATTTATCAAAAGAATCAATTAAAATTTGTCATAAAAATTACCTATAATTACTTTATTTGTGATTTAATGATCTAAATAATTATTTATAGGGTAAGTACATACAACTTAAACTACCAAAAACTACTACCGTCAACTGTCCTTGAAGATTCCCCGCCCTTCACTTTTTCCCCCACCCACCTCCTATTTTTTCCCACTTGTTTAATTATTTCTTTAATAATTTTCTTTCCTTTTGCCTACCTTTTTCTGCCTTTAAATTAACCTACAACCTCAAAGACCATTCCTTCCTCTTCTCCTCCTCCTCTCCTTTGCTTACATTTTGAGTTTCTTAAGCTATTTTTGCTCTGTTTTCTGATATCTTCTTCTTTGGTTTTCTTGTTTTCTCCGCTATTCTGCTCTATTTAAGCTATTTCATTTCTGGGTTTTTAGTCTTTTTGGCTGAAACCCATTAAAGATCCAATCTTTTTACCTATTTTGTCAAGGGCTTTCTGTTTCTGTGGTGTGAAAAATTAATGCTAAATATCGAGCTGTTATTCATGAACCAAATTCATGTCTCCTGTTCTTAGTGAAATCCTTCGTTCCGGTTTTATAATCAGTTCTTCACTTAGACGCAGAACTCATCTTGTTCAATCTTTCTCTGTTTGTTTCCTCTACTGGTTCTACGTTTTCTCAGAGATCATCAATTCCCCGTAGTTATCTATATAGTTAATTATATCTAGTTTTACCATTAATTTGTATTTTTATTTACTTGGTCCTGTGTTTTCTTGGTACTAATATTTGTTCAACAGCCCAAGAAAATAAACCAGAGGCTAAAAAATTTAAAGGTGTAAATATAGAAATATTGTGATGGCTACATCTAGTGGAAATTCAACTGGATCTACTCAGATTTTGAACTCAGGTTCTGAAGAAGATTTGCAGGTTTCAATGTTAGATGAAAGGAAAAGAAAGAGAATGCAATCAAATCGTGAATCAGCAAGAAGATCAAGGATGAGAAAACAGAAACATCTTGATGATTTAATTGGCCAAGTTGCGCAGCTGAAAAAGGAAAACAACAACATCCTTAGCAACATCAACTTGACAAGTCAACAGTACGCTAATGTTGAAGCAGAGAACTCTGTTTTAAGAGCTCAGATGATGGAACTTAGTCAAAGGTTGCAATCTCTTAATGAAATCCTCAGTTACATCAATTCCAACAACAACAATAATAATAACGGAGTTTTTGAAACTCATCATCATTATCAGGAGGATATGATGAATAATCCATGGAATTTGATGTATGTTAATCAGCCAATTATGGCTTCTGCTGATATGCTTTATCAGTATTGATTTAAAAAAAATATTAGGAATAATTATCACCATTAACTAGGGCACAAATTGGTCAAGATTTTGTTTTCTTTTAATGGTGGTAATGTTCAATTAATGGTGGTTGTGATGATGAGTTGAAAGAAGAATGGAAGGGTTGTTTTATTAGTATCTTTATTATTTGGTTTTATTATTTAAGCAATATGAGCATTAGATCTGAGTAATATTATGAGTTATTAGGACTATTAGAATGGTTTAAGATGGGTTGACTGGTCTTTTGGGCATGTAAAAAGGGTAGGTGTTGATATATTGGAATGAATGGTTGTGAATGCACTATGTTTCTCTTTTTAATAAATGCAAGTTGCCTTGTTTCTATGTACTATATTCCTTTTGTTTTTTAATCTGATCCCTTAAATTTTCTCCAATTTTTCTTACCTCTCCAGATTGCTTCTGATGATCATAATATATTTCAATTTCTTAATACTTTGAGATCCAAGAATTTTCCGAATTTCTTAATTACTTTAATATCCAAACAAATACGGTTACTGTCCTCTTTCATTATGGCTCTGGAAAAAGTACAAAGATGAAAGATCTCATAAGAATTTACACAGAGTTAGATATTTTTGCACCAAATCAATGATAATTTGGCATGTGGCTTCTACATATACTCTTTATCACTTATGAATAGTTAATTAATACAATAACAACAACGATCCAGTAAAATTCCACTAATGGGATCTGAGAAAATGGTGTCTGGGGAGGGTAGTGTGTACGCAGATCTTACCCCTACCCCAAAGGAGTAGAGAGGCTGTTTTCGAAAGACCCTCGGCTCAAAAAATAAAAAGACAAAATGACAAAAAGGAGACAATATTAGTATCACAACAACAATCATAGGATAAATAGGAACACCGTAAAATCCAGAAGAAAAATACAAAGCAAAGGGAAACAATATTAGTAAATATTAGTATCACCACAACAATCATAAGAAAAATAGGAACACCATGAAATCTAGAAGAAAGATGCAAAGCAAAAGCGATAGCGAGTAAATAGGACATGTACTGAAAAGCGAAATAGTAAGCCACAACATTGCCACTAGCTATCTTAGACAAAAATCCTACATGGCTAGTCCCACAATGGTACGAAGTAAGGCACGACTCAACTATCTCTTAACCTACAACCCTAATGCTCGACCTCCACATCTTCGTATCAAGTGACATGTCCTCGGAAATCTGGAGCCTCGCCATATCCTGCCTGATCACCTCTCCCCAATACTTCTTAGGTCGCCCTCTACCTCTTCTCGTGCCTTCCACAACCAGTTGCTCACACCTCCGTACTGGAGCATCTGGGCTTCTCCTCTGAACATGTCCGAACCATCTAAGCCTCGCTTCCCGCATCTTGTCATCAATGGGAGCCACATGCACTTTCTCCCGGATATCATCATTCCTAATCTTAATACGTGTTTCACTTTAATTTTTTCACTTAACAATAAGCATTGAGTGATTAAATTTTTTCGATACAGAATTCCAAAGGTATGTACAACAATAACAATACACTACCTAGTATAATTGTACAAGTGAGATCTCGGTGAGGGTAGTGTGTATGCAGTCTTAGCTTTATCTTGTGCAGACAGAAAAGCTGTGTCCGATATACCTTCAATTCAAAACAAGCATGCATTGAGTTATAATCATAATATATACAAGTTGATATTAATTTGAAGGTTTAGTGGTGTACTTTCTTTAAGCAATAAATTAAGTTATAATTTAATACTCCTCAACAGGCTTAATGTACCAAAACCATGTGGTATAAATATAATAAATGAAAGACGTATTCTAATTTAAAAATCTTGCAGCTACATACATATCAAGTAGTCCTTTGTCCTTCACTAAGAGTCAGAGAGCATACTGCTTGAACTTAGCATTGATTGTATATTTACTAGTACAGTACTATTTACCAAGCCGATTCAAAGTTACTTATATAGCGTTAGGAAATATTGTTCACACGTGATATCTTTTCTAAAAGATTTCATGATTGGAGATATGGTTATGTCGTCACCCAGAATTTTCAAGAAATCAAAATATAAAAAATTTAAACACATTGAAAATCTAAAGGGCTTCAACGTATAGTAAATATGTATAAAATTAAAATTTCACCTAGTAATACAGTACAATTTTTCGGTTGACAACCCGCGGTTAGATATGGCTTCGCCATTGTGACAGACTGTAGATGAAGATTAAAAAAAAAGAAAAGAAAAAATGATATTGTATAGTCGCTCTCAAACTAATAGTCGAAAAATGTATATATTTTATATATATATATATATATATATATATATATATTTTGTATGTTACATTTAAAAATTATATAAATTTTATACACTTTTTCGACTACCTAATATAAATAATTTTTTATGCGGGCCAAAAGTGATAATATCACTTAAAAAAAAAGTGTGGCTTATTCAGTTACTTTGAGAACATGACTAAATATAATTCGTTACTTGCTTTCAATCATAGAGTAGAATGTTTGTGTTTTAACATTAATAATATTTCTAAATAATTCCTTTTTGCCTTTTAATTAACTTCTTTTTCATCTTAATTGAGCAGTCATGAGAGTGCATGCTTAGTGCTCAAGCAAATTAACATTCTGTAATTTGCTGCTTTATTCTCGAAGTTACAATCATTAAGTGGGATGCCGAAGTAAAGCAAAAGGTAATTTATTTTTAAACAGACATTACGTCTCACTGATGGAAAATTAATAATGTTGATTAATGTCTTAAAGATGCACTTAGCCTGCATAATATTGAGCAAATAATTGCTCTTAATATAGCGTTACGTACAGAATTCATGTGGCTGTCATAACTCATACTCCCTCCGTTTCAATTTATGTGAACCTGTTTGACTGGACACGGAGTTTAAGAAAAAAAAGAAGACTTTTAGAATTTGTGGTCCTAAACAAATTAAAAAGGGGCCCAAAGTATTTGTGTGGTTATAAAAGCTTCTCATTAAGGGTAGAATTATAAGTTTAAGCTAAATTGTTTTCAAATTTAAAAAGGGGCCATTCTTTTTGGAACGGACCAAAAAAGAAATAGGTTCACATAAACTGGAACGGAGTGAGTATATCCTTCTTCATTTGTCTACGTCCCCTTTATTATAAATCAAATAAAACTTAAGGAAATAAGCACTCAATAAGCTAATTTTTTTTAATATATATATATATATATATATATATATATATATATATATATGAGTTCATCTGGACAAGCAATAGCAAATCTACAAACATTTATGTTATGAACAAGACAAATACATATTTAGAAATTTTAAAATAACCATCAATTGAACTTCTTGAGATTCACTAATGGAGGAATTAGTTCAACNATATATATATATATATATATAAAAGCAAAAGCAGGTCTACCAACAAAAATGGTACGTTTTAACAAGACAAATACATATTTAGAAAGTAGAAACTATAGAATATACCATCAAGAATTTCTTAAAATTCACTAATGTACTTAGAAAGACTGGCTGTGACGAAAGCAGCAACTAGTCTTTCTATTTCAGGGAAACGATTGCGTCAATGTGTAAATAAAGAAAACATTAATATTAAAGAACTTTTATTTGTTAATATCATGGTTATGAAATGATGAAGCTTGTGGCCAGCCATTAAAGGAGGGCACGCTTCAGATTAATTAAGAAATTTTTGGTGTCACTGTTCTTGGTCTAATCTTCATTATATTAATTAGTGGATCCCTAACTTGCTTTGAATGACTTTATAAACCAGCTAAAAGCTATAGAGATTAATAAATGACCAATATGTTTAATGAAAGAGCAAGATGGATATTTTATATCTAACAAGATAATTGATGGCAACAAACATTTAATTAAGCTTAAATTGAACTTCTTTTTAATTTTTAAATTATGTTAAAGTAAAGTTGTCTGGTTGGGAGGCATGGTAATGACATGCAACTACTATTGTTAAAGAGTGGTCCAAAGGGTAGAGTAGAGAGGGATGGACAACTATAAGAAATTAGCATAAATAATGACCTAATTTAATTTTTGTTTCCTAAATATTTTATTAATACTAAAGATGAAAAATTCCTAAATAGTTCTTCTTTGAGTTGTTGAAATAAGTTGAAACACAAAGTGTAACAAATAATTTTAAGTTCTTCTCAGTTTAATCATATCTCCTAAGACTAAGACACAAATATACAATTCTAATCTTATCATTTCAGTAGTAGGACAAACTGCAGTATGACACGTAAATAGGCATATTCGACATGATATTCTGTGATGTCCATGAAAAGACAATAATTTTCAAGAGTTAGGTAATATGTGATGTTGAAATGTTAATTTAACCTATGATCTGAAAATGCTGAAAATATTTTTGGTGCGTTTCATGCTTTTTCTGAAGTTGGTGGGATGTGTTTAGGCAGCGACCTCAAAAAATCTTTAAATTGCCAATTTATTTCTTAATCCATTAGTTATATTTTAGATAAAAAATTGTTTGTTTTATTTTTGTTTTGTTCTTTT